ACCACTGGCGCACGGCAATGGAAGGAGTACGAGAGCACATCCCAATCACAACCGGCCATCTTTTCACATCATCGGCTTGCAATATCTGCGTGGCTTGCTTGTCGTGCAGGTCTTGCTTGTCGTTCAGGTCTTGTTTGTCGTGCATTTCTTGAGTGTCTTCTTGTCTTGCTTGTGGCATAAAGCCATCGGTAATCTTGATCAACTTGGATGCCTTCGATCCGTGTCTGTTAAGCGCTGCCTGTCAGCGGGCCAAGAAGCTCTCCGCTATGACAAGCAAAACGTATGGTGTCGATGCTGAGGCAACACTCTCAGGACAAATCCAGCCACGAAGGCTAGGTCAACTGGAGTTCGTGCAAGGACTGCAAAGGAGAATGGCAGGACAGAAGATCACGTCGACTGCCGTGGAAGAGAGGAAAAAGTCAAGGAAAAAGGACTGTGTTCGACATACTTTGAGCTTTTGCCTTGGGCTCTCTGGGAAAGCGTGGGATATACATAGCATTCCCAGGCCGGCATACGAGATAAGAGGATGGAGAAGTCACACAAATGAGCCTTCGACTCTATCCACTGCAGGACAAGAGACTTCCAAGAGAAGTACTTCAAGTTGCAGCTTCAAAAGCGTTTGGCTCAAACTCAATCAAATCCTGCAAACGCGACTTATGAGACTTCCAAGAGAAGTATAAGGCGCGGCCTGCGGGTCATGAGAGTCTTTGTAGGCGAGTGTCCATGTCTCGGAATGGATGAGAGTACCGAGCAGCTGAAGGTGTCGATGATACGAAAAGAATGGCCGGAACAGAATGGAGACGCTGCTTGAGGAGCACATGGCTCTCGCTCAAGGCCGTCGACCCTCAGCCTCAAAGATCTCTCAGTCGTATTGCGAAGTCCGTTTTGATGTCCGGATGAGAGCACTGCTGTTGATGCAGGACCTGAGTCTCACTGCTCGTGTCTGAAGCAAGGGAAAAGAAGAGTTGTCGCGATCTCACACGGGCCATAGCTCACCGCTGCCAAAGACAAAAGAGAAGAAGAGTGATCTTGGTCTTACGCGGGCCCATGGCTCGCCGCGGCCAAAGACAGATGCCAAAGCTGCCGGGCCTGAGAGGCACACCGGCAGGAAGCAAGGTGCAAGATGAAGAGATGTTGGAGCACAGTGTATGGCCCTCGCCGGCGAGACGCTCACGGCGGGCAAAGGACTTATGCCGGCATACGCACACGACCACCTGAGAAGCAAATGCAGGGTGGTAAACTGGACTTGCGCTGGCCATAAGGCTCGCAGATGCCAGCTGAAAGCAAAGATGAAAGACCAAGATGGAGACTGGACTTACACTGGCCGAACAGCTCACAGCTGCCAGCCAAAAGACAGAGAAGAAATTGTAAAGAAGAACGACGACCCACCACCATCCCCACCACCAGCCGAAGGCCAATGGATGGGGGATAGCAGTGTCCATGCAGTACTGCACAGCTGTCGTCCTTCTCGTGCATCTTCTGAGGTTCCGCGAGCAGGGCGGAAGTGCCAGTCACGTGAGCTTGTCCATGATCGCAATCTAGCACTTGGGAAGATCGTGCCCTGCTAAACCCGGCTCTTATGATTGCTACTCAGTCAATCGACATGAGTGTTGGTGTTGTGGCCAGATTATCTCCTGCTGAGTGCAGCCTTGTCCTACTCTTGCTCACGTTGACTCCTGCTCTTGCGACGGGGAGAGAGTCGTGCAAGTTCCCGCGTACTCATGAGCGAAGACCATGTCGTTGCCTGCGCGTGAAAGACTGTTGAAGCACTTCGGCGTTGTCGCGTTGCTCGAGGTCAAAGGTCTTTGATCGAGGGTGGTGTTTTCGGCTCGAGGGTTCGTGGCGATGTGGAGGCATGATTGCCCTACGTCAGGCGTTCTCGGTGGTCGATCACAGCGAGAGAAGCCCCGGAGACCTTCTCGNGGAGATGTTGTTGAAGTCCTGCCAAACTGTTCACGGCGGACGGCGGAGGTCACTGTTTTCTGTCAAGTCAGTGTCGGTCAGCGCCAGTGGATGTACCGTGTGCCGCCTCATTCTGACGGTTGTGGCAGCCGCTGTGGAGGCATAAGCAGGTGTTGCTGCTGCTGCGGTAAGGTGTGGTGGTGGAGGGAGGGAAGAAGAAGCTGCGACGAAGCCGGAAGCGCTTCCCTCCACCGGCCATATCTCCACCACCCGATGCCGCAGACATGTGCAAGACACACGCTGAGCACCAGATAGCTTCATAGATGGAGCGCGGCGGTGTTTGGATGGTCAGCGGAGGGTGTTGATGATGTGGTGAGGTGGTGTTGGTGCGTTGGAGTGAGTTGGAGCGGAGCTGGAAGCTCGACTTCGGCGAAGAAGTTTGCCCTCCAGGCTCATATCTCCACCACAACACGTCGCCAACACACGAGCATCACACGCGCAGCGTCGCAAGAGCTTGCAGATGCAGCGCGAAGTGAGCGCCATGGTTTGCGAGTGTTGTATGCGGTGTTATGGGGCTGGATGGTGGTGGTTGAGTGAGCTGGAAGCCAGCTGGAAGCTGTCAGATCGAGGCAGATTTCCTCCGCCGCCTCACTGCTCGGCCGCCAGGCGACGCGAAGACATGGACGCAACACGATGAGCATCGGGGATGCTCACCGATGCAGCGCCGCACGTGTTTGACGGCTCGGAGGCGTCGTGGGTGGTGTTGTAGGGCGGTGAAGCTGATGATGGTGGTGAACTGGCGGGCTGGCAAACAACACGAAGGGCTCACAGCGACGCCAAGCCCCACTCATATCTTTGCCCTCCGACGCCGGCATTGGCACGACAACGCCGGCAAAGCAGCGAAATGGCTTCGTGGAGGGTAAGTTGATACTCAGGATGCCGCGCGAGGTCTTCCGGGGGCCTCACCGCATCGATAGGGCGAGATGCGAGCCTGCGGGCCAAATGCAATGACAACTCCACATTCCACGGAGCAGCATCACAACAAAGTCCCTCAGCCATGCCACAACAGCTCATTGCCCAGCTGGGAGTGCACCCACTCAGTACCACCACCGCTACCTAATCCGATACGCTAGCATCGTGGCGCCCACGAGCTTTGCTGATTCTGACTGTCTCTGTGCAGACAGCAGCACTACAATGGCCGCAGCACCACGATAGCCAGCAGCTTCAGAGCCTCCTCCGAGTCTACATGACAACCCACGGCACCATAGAAGAGGCTGCCTTGCGATTTCCCGATTCAAGGACATCCTCGTAATCGCCACCTTGCCGCACACAAAAAGCCCAGCATCTTGATTTCAACGGCCACCGAACCGCACGCGAGACAACCAGCCAGAGCATTCAAATCTGAAAGTCACTGCATCAAGCTCTTCTTCAGGACGACGCAAGAGTCTCCAGGCCTCGAGCTTGCCCCAGCGGAAAGATGAGCGCAAGGCGGTTCCCTCTCGGCACTGCTGAGAAGCTGGCGATAGACATGTTCATTGCTTCGCCTACACTCCTGCGCAAAGACTGCCCAGAAATGGCTTTCGAGGGCGACCAAATGCGGCGGCGTCAAGAAAGAGTAAGTTCGAGAAAACATGGCCACTGGCGAAAGCCACGCCGCAAGGGAAGGAATACTGTGCTCGTGGCTACATTGACGAAGTCAGAGCACAATTCGCGCTCAAACCGCTGTCGTCGAGAACAGATCGAGACGGAAGGTGAGAGAATATGAACTACCGTGGGGCCTTGCTCCAGCCGGCAGTAGAGAGACGCTGAAACGAACATCATAATGGTGGCAACTTGTGTAAAGGGTGGCGGATATTGGGCGCACTTTTCTGGTCGAAGGCATGCCAAAGCCTTGTGGTGTGCCTACAGTAACCCTCTTTCACTATTTCCTCTCAAGACTCAGCACTCGATGCTTTGACTATATTCAGCAGTACGCATCATCATACCGCAATCGAATCGCCGAAAGATATTACGCGGCATCAGGGCTCATCAGTAATCCGCCCTCCGCCCTCCTCTTATCCCAGTCCCGGTTCAAGCGGCTTTCCACCGCGCTCCGCCGCCTCTGGAACTCCACCCACGCCGCCACGCTAGCTCCATCTCTCTGCACACCTCCGAGCGCTCAACGCGCGTCGAATACGTTACAACATAGAATTGCCAGGATTCTGAAGGACACGAGACACCCCACAGCACCTCCCCATCTGTGCTCTTGCACAAGCGCCGCTTACCTTCGGCCTTTTGATAACAAACCAGATGGCATCTCAGACACCGGATCTTGGGAGCAGGGGGCGAGAGATCCCACACACCGAACACGTAGCGTGGAAGAAAGCATGATGATAAGCATAGTCTATCTGCTTATCAAGACAAAATGACGAGATAGCAGGGTTTCGTTGACGCTTCGGTGAAATGCAGAACATCCTCAAAAGATACATTCCTTGCTCAAAACAACAAGCATATTCCCAGTATGTAGAGACCTCTACACACAGAACAGTGATGAACAATTCCGCCAGCCTTCCAGATCCCACACTCCACAAAATCCAATCTCCAAGAAGGACCGAACACCACAAAACCAATACGTAAGCTCAAAGGCGCAAAGACTCCATAAATGAGGCGAGACAACTTGTCACGTTCGCAGCAGAGCAAGGAATAGAGAGCAACAAAGCTTGTCGGAGATCAAGTCCGAAGCTGACCAGAGGAGAAAATTTGGCAGGGGTGTGTGGGGACATGCCTGTCGGGAATGGAGTGCGAGGCTCTACCGTGCGCCACCAACCACCGAACAAGGCATTTTTTGCTCGGTTCCTGCGTGGTGCATGCATGTGTGCCATGTGCCTTTTCTGGCCGGGAGAGTGAGATAGGGTTGTAGATAGAAGTATGGAAACTGTATGACTACTACAGGTGCAGAATCTTGCGAAATGGGTGTTCCAGTATACAGTTTCGTTGCAAGTGGTACAATTCGGATCGTAAGTCTAGCGCAGTAGTATTCGAAAACATTCAGATCGGGCAGATCTCAGATAATACTCAATAGCATTTGCTCCAATCTACTCTGTGAAGAGTTGCGCTACACGCGATGCTTCTAATAAACCATTTCCACACGAAACTCCTCGCTCAAAAAACTCATGTCATCGTTCCACCAGCGCCAAACTTGCTATGCCCATGCTCATGCTTTGTGCGTTTCTTGCCACACTGGCCAATCAAACAGAATGCAACATCGTTTCATCATATCATAAACAGTCCTCCACGCCAAGACGAGACTTGACGTCTAGGCCAGACCGAGCGTGGCCTTGCACCTCCTCATCAACTCCGCCTGCATCGCAGCTCTCGTCTCTCCCGTCCTGCTCGCGGCATCCTTGTTCTCAGCTGCGCGTCGCAAGAGGTAGTTCAGAGCTTCCTGCATGGTGCCCCACACCGTCAACTTGAACACCTTCTCCTGAACTGCATTTGGATCGTCCTTTGCTGCTTTGGCATTCGCCAGCAGCTTGCACGAGACTTCGTCTGCCATGCCTTGGAGTTGAGCGTAGACGAGTGGGGTCAACTCTTGTCCAGAGCGCGCCTGCTGTTGTCGAAGAGCTTGGGCCTTCTCGACAGTGTTGGCGTTGTGAGAGGCGACGACGACGTTGATGTTGGGGAAGAGTGTCTGGCCTGCGGTCGCTGGGCGCAAGAAAGAATCGTAGGAGCGATTAATGAGGGCCGCAGTTGCAGAGTCGTAGGCGTGGTGGGTGTCCTGAATCGTGTCATGGATGAGGTGGCGAGGCTCGGATGCGAGATAAGCGCCACGGACGAGCTTGGCTCCGAGAGTGAAGCCTTCCGCTTTGGCGATTTCGAGATGCTTGCTCAGAGTCTCTGGCGCTTGCTTCAAGTACATCTGGTAGGTGGTGTAGATGGTGCTCTTGCCTTTGGTGTTGTACTCGCGTTGCATCAGGAGAGACCAGTTGTGGAAGCCTTGGAGATTCCAGGTCTCCTCGGCAGATGGGAGGAGTCCGATGTTCTTTGCTTCTGCGGCTTTGCTGACAGCATGCATGGCAGATGCCATATCAGAGGATGGGTCTTGCTCCTTTGCCATACGGTTCATTGCTGCACTACCCATGCCGCTCCACTTGAGACCCAAGAAGTCGCCTGGAGCAGCCATCTCGATGGTATCGAGCATGCCCTTCTTCCAGTATGCGATATCTTCGGCCTCGTCATGCCCAGCCTCATCTTTGAGAACTTCGCGAGCATTTTCAAGAATGACACCCGAGTATCCCTGAGCGCGAAGCTCGTTGCATCGCTTCGAGATCTGCTCCTTATCTGCACCAGCGCAGAACTGCTTGTAGAAAGTCTCCCAGAGGATGATCCGCATGACCGGGTTCTTCTCGAGATCAAAGAGTGGGTTCTTGGACTCGAGCATCTTCCGGAGCAGGTTCGTCGATGCGCCTAGCAGCGCGGGCGATGAGGACATCGTGGTGATGAGATATGATCGCAGGACTTCTGGCAATGTGAGGCATGACAGAGGCGCTGTCGATGCTGCGGTGGATTGTGCGTTGTATGATGGCGAGATAGTCTCTGATTGTGGAATGCTTGGAATGGCGACGCCGTTGTTCTCGTGGGAAGTCGAGTGTAGTCGCCGTCGTCCACTGTGCTGTGCTCGAATCTGTGTCGTCGCCGCCCTGCATACGCCTGTGGCTGTCCGTGATCGGGAGATCATATTGGTCGCTGCCAGAGCGCGGGAGCTCTTGATGGTGGCAGACATATTTTGTTTTTGTCGCTCTAGTGCTCGCTAGTCTATTTCGATGGTTTGGGTGAATAGGTGTGCAGATGTCGTGGAGCAAAATACAATAAGAGCGTGGAAGGCGAGATGAAGGACAAAGAGAGTTCTGGTACCTACCTCCGTTCACCTGATATACGCTTGCCATTCTTGCTGACTTGTGATCGTGACCAGCCAGGCAAAAGCACGATCCAGGATTGAGACAACGGTTACCTTCGGCTTCCATGGGCCCGTCATCTCGCCGCGCCACGACCGATCGATGAGGCTGTTACCCCACATTGACGCCGTCCCATCAAAGTGCCGTTAGGAGGGCCCCCCGAAGTCGGAAGCTGAGACTAGCACCGCGTTCACGTCGTCACAAAAACGGGAATCCGCGGAGATTTTGGCAAGGTTGCGGAGCCCTGCCGACCTCACCTCTTCGGTATTGGAGGCCGTTCTTGCAATCTCGGTCCTGTATATATTGGCGCGTGGTAGGCCTGGGCTGAAAAATGCGCGCGATGGAAAGCGAGCGTCTACAGATGGTCTTCGATGGACTTTGTTGCCAGCTTGCCCTTTCGGCATTGCTCGGAGATGAGTCTTGGCGCCCCGGCGGACTGATCTCGAGCATGGGGACTCGACACAAACTTGCGGTCTGGCCATCGATACTCGCCGATGATGGCAAGCACAGTGGAGGTCATCCATATGCTATTATCCTGCTTGCGTCGAGTGTGGACTGAAAGACTGATGGACACACGAGGGCACTCTTCCAGGGCACGGCAGAAGAACCCAGCCACATAATTACGATGGTCCTGCGGCATATGGTTGCCACGCGAGACACGATTCCGGCGGCCGATTGTGGCTAGGATGATATTGTCGGACTGCTTCGTGAAGTGGCCTCTGAAGCATGAGTGCAGGCTTGAGAGGCGGCCTCGAGGTGCACAGGCTAGTGGTACCAGAATTCGGCTTCCTACCCGCAAATTGAGCTTCAGAAGATCCAGGCCTCATAGACTAGGACGTCGTAGGATGGGAGAGCCCTTGCTCTTCGCTTGCCTCACAGGAGCTTCAATATCGGTTTCCCATCATCCACCATTGCTCTACCGCATAATGAGCAGCCGCTCGGTAGCAGATTCCAATGCATCACCTTGGGACGCAATGATCTCTTACAACGTGGAGGACCGCAAGAGGTTCAAGAGCTCAACTCCCAACCGTCCCAGGCACCGATGTAACGAGGTACAATGTTCTTCAGGCCTCTCTTCCAGCCTGTTGACGCCCTTGTTTCTCCCTCTTTGATGTCACGATGGATATGCTCTGGAACGATCGTTCGTACATTTGCGCCAGCCGAGCTCCTGCACATACTGAAGACCCAGACCTGTCACAAGTCCGGCCAAAGACCAAGCGTTATGCTTCGATATCTCGATCCTCGCCATCGATTCCACACCTCTTCAAATTGGAGAGACAATAATCAAGCTAGCAACGACTCGTAGGCGTCTCGGATCCTTCGATTGGGAGTGCGCGGCGTTTGAGAGTTCGGGATGCTCTGTGAGTCGTCGATCGTAGGAGGCATGGCTGTGGATCGAGCATTGAAGCCATTGAGAAGCCATTTCCGGTTCTGCGAGATTGCACGCGATACCCGTCGGTCGAGGATCGATCATACTGGTTGAGCGTGATCGTACACTGTACTATCATGTGTCAGCCACCCATCTGGCAAAGGACTCCAATGCCTCGGAACCAGCAACTTTGATTTGGAGTCACCACATTGCCAAACGACTTCCTGTGCAGCGTCTCGAATGCCCAGAAGCAAGTCCAGTTGTGCCTGCTTCTGGCAATTCGATGCAGGACTTTCTGTTGAATATGCATATCTCCACGCACTGTTGCCGTCGAAACTGACAGAGCTGTTTGTGTTGCGGCGGGATGGCGGGAACTAGCCCACCCCTGTCGATTGACTTGATCAATGTCAGTGACGGAAACTCGACTTCGACACGACGGACCCGGAGAACAGCACGCACACGACATCGCCAGCAAGATGTCTTCACGCCCTGTCACTCCCGTCCGCTCGACCACGAAGCGCAAGGCCTCCGCCTCGCTCTCGCCG